AGAGTATAAAAAGTTCGGACCGACTAAACAATTTCAAAATTGCTTCAACCGAGTAAAGTTGGACGTGAATCAATGGAGTCTATACCAATGCGTTCGGGTATGTTCAATAAGAAATATTGTATTATGAGAAGATTTTTTTAAATAATATATTTTGACCTACGTTGGGCACCATAATCGAGCAAAATCATCACCAATTTAAATTTCAAAATTTCCAGGCCTTCGATCCTAAATAGTAAATCTTGAGACAAGAAAATATGGAATACGAATAAAATTTGAACATTATTCAAGGTAAGGTGACAGGGTCTGGTGAAACATTAATCGATTAATCTTGATAACAAGACGCCGAGAAGTCCATCTTCTTTGCACGTTTAAGTGGTGGGAAATCCTCCACAGAGAACAAAACTTTAGTTTACACAATGAATAGGTGCTGGAAGATAATTTTCAGTATAGACACAGAAATTGCCGTAGATCTCATTTGATAATTCTCTCTCATTTGAGGTTTTTTTTTTCAATGGCCGAATGTTTTATAAACCAGTAAAGAAAGCAGTAAAGTCGGACGGGGCCGACTATATGATACCCTTCACCACTTTGGGTATATTCAACAGATGAATCCTAACAGACGTCGCATTTTTAAAGGACTAGCAAAATGAACTTGGATCCATAAACATGTCATTCTGCAACCTATACTAATATTTTCATTTGGTCAGATAGAGAAGCTACATCTAAATCTGAACCGATTTCAGGAAATTTAACACACATCATTCTAGACCTAATTCATTACGCTGTGCCAAATTTCGTGCAAACCGAAAGATATTAAGGGACTTTGTTACACCATTTACCTTAAATTGGACGAAAATATATATGGGAGCTATATCTAAATCTAGACCTAATTCATTAAGCTGTGTCAAATTTCGTGCAAATCGAATGATATATAGGAACTTTGGTGCACCACTTACATTTAATAGGACGAAAATATATGTGGGAGCTATATCTAAATCTGAACCGATTTTCAGGAAACTTAACACACATTATTCTAGACCTAATGGCACCATTTACATAAAATCGGACGAAACTATATATGGGAGCTATATCTAAATCTGAACCGATTTTCACAAAAATCAGCACAGATCATTCTAGGCCTAATTCATTACGCTGTGCAAAATTTCGTGCAAATCGAAAGATATATAGGGACTTTGGTGCACCATTTACATTAAATCCGACGAAAATATATATGGGAGCTATATCTAAATCTCAACCGATTTTCACCAAACTCAGCATACATCATTCTGCACTTAATACATAACGCTATGCCAAATTTCGTGCAAATCGAAAGATATGTAGGGACTTTGGTGCACCATTTACATTAAATCGGACGAAAATATATATGGGAGCTATATCTAAATCTGAACCGATTTTCACGAAACTTAGCACACATCATTCTAGACTTAATTGAATACGATATGCTAAATTTCGTGCAAATCGAAAGATATATAGGGACTTTGGTTGACCATTTACATAAAATCGGACGAAAATATATATGGGAGCTATATCTAAATCTGAACCGATTCTCAGGAAACTTAACACACAGTATTATATACTTCTTTCATTACGCTATGCCAAATTTCGTGCAAATCGAAATATATGTAGGGACTTTGGTGCACCATTTACGTAAAATCGGACGAAAGTATATATGGGAGCTATATATAAATCTAAATCGATTTTCATGAAACTCAGCACATATCATTCTAGGCATAATTCATTACGCTGTGCCAATTTTCGTGCAAATCGAAAGATATATAGGGACTTTGGTGCACCATTTACATAAAATCGGACGAAACTATATATGGGAGCTATATCTAAATCTGAACCGATTTTTCCCAACTTCAATAGGGTTCGTCCTTGGGCCAAATAAGTGACCTATGCCAAATTTCATCCAAATCGGATCATAAATGCGACCTGTACTTTGTTCACAAAAATACATGGACGGATAGACGGACATGCGTAAATCGACTCAGAAAGTGATTCTAATCATATTCTCAAAAGGAACCATGTGTCTATCTCGTTTCCTTTTGCCTGATACAAACATATGCACAAAGACATAATACCCTGTACCACAGTGTGGTGAAGGGTATAAAAATGGCAGTGAATTGAACATATTCGGAATATTCTTAATCGAGATAAGCGTAAAATAATGGGATCTATTCCAAGGCACATGGGTATGCTCAGTATGAAATATTCTGTTATAAGAAAAATGTGTTTGAACTAATATATATTGACATACGTTGGGCGCCAAACACGACAAAAACCATCACGAATTTAAATTTCTAGATATCCAGACGTTCGATGGCCAAGAGTTGGGAAATTCTCCATAGATAGTAAAACTAAGGTTTACACAAGGAGATGGAAGTTATTTTTCGATTAAGGCCCATATTCGGTATTTTGAAAATATTAGCCGCAGTTCCCCACTGATAAAGATTGTTATTTGGGAATTGGGCTCTTGGATTGTTAATAAAAAATCTTTGTATTTTCGATGAAGGTCCATGTTTTGATATAATTCACATATGGTGCTCTCCATTTCTATATTAAGGGGACCCCTCTATTCTCGGTGTCAAAATTTTTTTTGATTTAATTCGAATCTACTCTAATTCTAGAATGTCCATACAAAATTGCAAGTGAAAATCTCAAGAACTCTTGTCAGTATCAAGGGACGGCAAGAGCGACTCTCAAACTTTAAACGCATTTTTTCTCGAAGCGAATGGCGGGCACGATAACTCAAAAACTTAAAATCCAATCGGTCCCAAATTTTGACACGTTTCTCTGGGAGTTTATAGCTCTCGTATGAGAGCGTTAGTAAAAGGCTATAATTTAGCAATCCGAGTTTTTGGATAATGAATACCTGATTTGCAGACGATTTTGGTCCGTGTTTTGGCATATCCTATGTTTTAGACGTATTTTCCCAGCCATATCGCTGTAATTTTGCATTTCCAATTCTTTAATTTGGCACTTCAGGTACCTGGAGGGCGAAAAGCATATTTTAAGGAAATTTTCCCTTACACGATAAAGTCTCTAAGGATTTAAGGAATTTTGAATTCTTGTCACATGTTTGAAGGTATAAAATTTCGACATGGGCGAAGCCCTCTTTATACCCTTCACCACACTGCGGTAATACCCTGTGTATTATGTCTTTGTACATATGTTTGTAACAGGCAAAAGGAATCGTGTTAGACCCATGGTACCTTTTGAGAATATGCATAGAATCACTTTTTGAGCAAATCAAGGACTAACCCGATTGAAATTGATATAGCTCCCATATATAGTGCACCAAACTCTCAATATTGTCCCGGTGGAGACAATCTGTTCAGATTTAGATATAGCTCTCATATATAGTTTCGTCCATACTGCCAATGTTTATTCGATTGAGACAAAATTTTGCACAGAGTACTGAATTAGGTCCTGATTGATATATGCGAAGTTTTGTTGGAATCGGTTCAGATAGCTCGCATATATAGCTTCGTTCGATTTTATGTAAATGGACAACCATACTGCCAATGTTTATCCGATTGAGACAAAATTTTGCATAGCGTATTGAAATTACTACAGGTTCACGTCCGTGAAGTTTCGGTTCAGATTTAGATATAGCATCCATATATAGTATCGTGTTTGTGCAATCTATAGACGCGATTGGGCGCCAAATATTTTACAATGATTGATGATGATTTTGGCATATCCTTAATTATATAAAGGTAGTCTTAGAGCGATTCGCAAATGGTCATATTAGCAGGAGCAGGATTGTAAAGTTTAATAAAAAGATCAGTTCCCATTTTTATTTTGAAATGAATAGGTAGGCATTCATCTCTCCTTCCCTGCGATTGTGCCAGAGTGCAATGCATCTACCAGAGAGATGGTTGATATACGCTTCAATTTATTTTTGTAATCAAGGTGTGCGTCTTCCAATTACTTGCATTTTGGCAAGGCTCATTGATTTGACTGCTACAGAAATTTGTAAAAATCTGTCCAGATACATTCCCGATTCATATTTTTGTGAATCTCCAGTGGCGATTAAATACTGCGGTAGTAAAAATTTACGGGAGCATGTTTTTCACTCCCATGAAAAGAGTGAAGAAACAAATGTATTTTGAATTTTGGAGAACCACGTCAGACTAATTGGGCCAACGATTTCAATAACTTGAAAATCAGAATTGCGACAATAATTAAGGTTAATAATTTGGAGTTGATGGAGGGATAAATATAATTTTGTCTGTATAAGTACACAATGAAGGGCAAAATCGTTAAATCCTGATTATTTTTAGCTGGCATGTCCGGTTGCATTGGAAATTATAAAAACGAGCTTCCTTTGAAGTTTGGAGAACCACAGCAGACTTATAAATCTAAGGATCTCAATAAGGATAATAAAGCCGATTTGGAAATTGAGGCAGGTATAAATATAGTTTCCTAATAACCTTTAAAACATATTAGTATCTAAGGATCAGAACAAAATTGAGAGAATGTATCCGATATTCCTTTCCAATACTTCGGAGGGTGTATAAAGGTATTACTTGCTCCTCTATTTCAGACTTTAAGTAATCTATGACTAATATAGCTACGCCATTGATTATTCGGTTTGTTGACAGACTGACTTCTACTTTTTCGACTCTTGTCATGCAAAAAGGCGTTTCCTATATGTGACCAAAAATCCAACAATCGCCATAGGAACGATAACACGAGCGGCTTAAATGATCTTAAATAAATAATGTTGCTGTTGCTTGGCAATCAAAGCTCTCTGTGGCATGTTCATAAAACATTGACATCGTCACCGCCACCAGCACCACTCGCACCAGGGTTTTATGGCTATACAGTTTTTGGTTTCGCTCTACCTACCTCTGCTCGGTTGATATTTTGCAAAGTAGTTGCATTGTCATTAATCAGTTTTAATGTCAGTTTTAAAAATAATTTATAATGTACACAAGGAGATCAAGTTTTTCGGTTTAAACTTTACTTACATTTTCACAGGATGTCCTACATGAACCGAATACTTCGTTACAGCAATTGTAGAAATCTGAAAGAGAGACAGAAGAGAGGAAAAAACAGGAAATGTTAAAAAACACAAATTGCTAGGCTTTAAAGAAAGTGTGTGTATAGTTGTTGCTGGTTTGGTATTTTTTTTTTTGGAAGCCAAAAAAATCTGGTTGTGCCGAAAAATTTGTTCAATGTGACAGTAATGACTTCATTAGCCTGCCATGTAGCCAAGTTGTGGGGATATATGATGGCGGCGGGCCTGGGTTAGTGGCATCTGATGTTGTCTGTGTTTGCCATTAGTTCTTTATTAAATTGTTATTATTCATCATTAAATGTGAAAATATAGTTGCAAGTTCCCTGATGGTGGGCAGGGTCGCTTTATATATGTCCTACACGCAAACGAGAAGAAGAGAGAAATAATTTCATGAACAAAATCTAAAAGTTGGCATGGTAGTTGATGGACATATTGGTAGAGTCTCCACTGGCTCCTAATATATTTTTGAATCACCCATATAACCCTCCTGACGATCTCTAGAAGTGGTCTGCATTTTTCTCCATTAAATCCCAAAGCCAAGGACAAACTTAATTCTCTCTGAATTTCTCTAGGAAATATAAACCAAATCCAAGGCATATTTTCAATTAACACCCCCTCCCCCTGACTCTACATCACTTCGATGGAATAGCTGTGATTACTTATTTCCTTATTATGGACCATTGAATTGAATGTTTGTGTTCATGGCATTCTACAACTCTATCTCTCGTAATGGTGCGTTGGCATATTATCGCACAACGCACAAAATTGCCACCTCCTCTGTCCCCCCACACACGCGCAATTGCATTTATGTTGTACTATATGTTCGTGTCGTTGTTGTTGCTGTTGTTGTCATCATAGTCATAATAGTTTATTTTACAATTTCCATGTCTAAACTTCTTGGTACTCTGTGGCACTACATGTGTTTTCTTTCGACTTCAAATGAACTCGAACAACACATTTTTGTGTAAGTGTGCGTCTGAGTGTGTGTGTGTGTGTGTGAAAAAAGATTAATGTTCAGACATTAATTTTCATGGGAGTTCTACTATAATTGAATAGGGTATATTGGGTACTTAGAACGACAAGTGACGTGAAATTGCCAAAAGATATCTTCTTTGTCTAGGAGGTATATGTGCTAAACATACCTTCTAGGGGTCAGTTTTATATATAGAAGATCCAAATTAATTTTTCTAGGAGACTAACGTGAAGAACGAAATACCTCTCCATGCATAGATGTGGAGGATGTCCAAGAGGTATTTTTATACCCTTCACCACATTGTGGTACAGGGTATTATGTCTTTGTGCATATGTTTGTAACATGCAAAGGAATCGAGATAGACCCATGGTTCCTTTTGAGAATATGCATAGAATCACTTTCTGAGTCGATTTATGCATGTCCGTCCGTCTGTTGATGTTAAATTGTAAACAAAGTACAGGTCGCATTTATAATCCGATTTGGATGAAATTTGGCACAGCTCATTTATTTGGCACAAGGACGAACCCTATTGAAATTGGGAAAAATCGGTTCCGATTTAGATAAGGTTCCCATATATATTTTCGTCCGATTTAAGGTAAATGGTGTACCAAAGTCCCTATATATCTTTTGATTTGCACGAAATTTAGTATAGCCTACTCAATTAGGTCTAGGATTATGTGTGCTAAGATTCGTGAAAATTGGTTCAGATTTAGATATAGCTCCCATACATAGTTTCGCCCGATTTTAGGTAAATGGTTTACCAAAGTCCCTATATATCTTTCGATTTGCACGAAATTTGGTATAGCCTACTCAATTAGGTCTAGAATGATGTGTGCTAAGTTTCGTGAAAATCGGTTCAGATTTAGATATAGCTCCCATATATATTTTCGTACGATTTGATGTAAATGGTGCACCAAAGTCCTATATATCCTTCGATTTGCACGAAATTTGGATTTATAAGTAAATGAAGAATTCAAAATGTGGCCGGTTTAGATTTCGATATTTTGCTTTAAATTTATTCGCATAATTTTTTCCCTTTGTAAGAAGCAACTTTATATCTGACCAAAATTTAGTATAGGTTGCAGAATGACATGTTTAATTTTATGTTAATGGGACGTCTGTTAGGATTCCATCTGTTGAATATACCCAAAGTGGTGAAGGGTATCATATAGTCGGCCCCGTCCGACTTTACTGCTTTCCTTACTGGTTTATGTAGAAGGTTTGCATTTATAAGGCCCATAGAAAAACCAGCAGTTCTTCCACATACGGAAAATTGTATGGGGGCTATTAAATAACCTGGACCTATATAGAAAAAATTCTGGAATTCTATGTAGTAGGTTTGCATTTATAAGGCCCATAGAAAAACCAGCAGTTCTTCTATATAAAATAAGCCCTATGTTTGCCTTAACAAATCTGCAAATCTGTCTGGTCCTCTATATGGGGACCATGTTATTGTAAATAATCTGCTGGTAGGTTGTTTATGCTCTTAGAAAATTAAATACCAAATCACTGATACTCCGGTCGGAAACAGACTTAGAACGTTCAACATACGGAAAATTAAGTCGGATATTGTATGGGGGCTACTAAATAACGTGGACCTATATAGAAAAAATTCTGTAAGATATTTGTCACTTAAATAAAGTCCTGGATTTCAAATTACAGTCACTTTTGTTGGAAATGAGCTAAGGATCAATAAAATACCTAAAATGAAGCGAGAGCTTTATATGAAGGATAATGCGGAGAATGTCCGTTACCTTCAACATGACAATTTTTAAATGAGATGGGACTTATACATGGGGCCTATGCCTCCATATAACAGGGTTTTCCTCTACTGAAGAATTTGTAGACATTATGTAGAGACAGATGGAAGAAAGGACCGACATAAGGAAATGGCTGAATTGAGATAGAATTTTATTCTGATCTGCATTATATATACTTAATGGGGTCTCCGATGAATATTTCCAGGTATTGTAAACAGAATGAAACCTCATGTAGAAGATACCTCCGGAGGAATTCTGTGTATAAAAGGACCACAAGAGACCTTCTTAGACCTTAGGTACTTTGAAGAGACTCCTCAGGATGTGTATCATATACTGATTTTTTTATATAATGATTTTTTTATATAATGAACGCCCCTCTGTAATAATAAAGTATTCCTCTGGAGATCTTTTATGTAAGACCCTTCTAATAGTTTTGTACAGAAGATCTGCTAAGAGAAATATCTCTCAGGTCACCTGTATTATATTTATAAGACCCTTCAGGAGGTTTCTAATAAGTTTTTGTGATAGGTCGTTCTATATAGGAGACAGTATATTCGATGTAGGTCTTCTATACAGAAGTCCCTTCAGAAAAATTTCTAACTAATATTTGTGGTCTCTACTCATGACAGCTAGTTTTTGAAAGGACCTGCGGTCTTTATAGCCACCAATCGTGTACAGATAATCTCTCAAGAAGTATTCTATATATAGAAGAGCCCTTACAGATTTCCTTCAGAGAAATCCTGGTCTACTATAGATAATATACCACTTGTAGGTCTTCTGTAGAGAGAATATGTCTACAGATAAATAAACTTCTTTGGGTCTTGCACAGACATATTCTATATCCCCTATAGAGATAATATCTCCTATAGAAGATCTGAAGATGTCTGTATCTCTATAGGGGAGCTAATGACGGGATTCTCTATATTAAAGGCCTATTATATATAGAAAAATTTCTCGAGGTATTCTTCTTCAAAGATAATTATTTATATGTCTCCTCTATATATCGATCTGTAGGTATTCTATACATCATACCCTTTTAATAAAGACTTGTCAAGAGGTCTTCAATACATTGAAGCCCCTTGGAGGCTCCTTCAGAAGATTTCTGGTATATTAGTCTTCTGTAGAGTGAAGAGTTCTATATATAGAAGACCTTTTCTGGGTCTTGCTTATAAAATAGGTCTTCTGTAGGCAATATATATAGATTTGCCACTCAAGTTTCCCTATAGGAATAACACCTTCTACAGAATACCCAAATAAGTTCTTTTTTGTTGAGAGGATAATGAAGGGCTCTTGTATATTTAAGGTAATTTCTATACTCGATGCCTTCCCTTTGACTGTGAAAAGTGTTTCTATGGAGGATTAAGTATAATGTCTGTAGATCTTATAAATACTATTTCTATGGACCACGAATACTATTTTTTCTGTAGGTATTCTACAAAGTATGATTTTCTATGACCCTTCTATAGAAAGAAGATTTTTTATAGTTTTCTACTGAGTAGTGCATTTCCCAGTTCCTATACTGGACACTTCTCGACACATATCCACTACAATTTTTAAATCATATCTCGTTTTCTTTTTCTCAGATCTTCAAATTTCTTCAAACTTGTTAAATTTGTTTTTATGGAGTGTTATGTGCGTAATAAATTCGTTTGCGAATTTTTCTTTTTTTGTCATGTTCTAAATTTTTTCTATATGCCCACAAAACTTGAACACTCAATCATCCTAATACGATCACATATACACACATACCAATGCAAGTGCAATAGAGCTTTTATTATGTTCGAAGCTGGATGACGACGCTTTGCCCTGTTGCATATTGCATTCTGCAGCGTGGTATGCATGCAAATCTTATTCCATTTACCATCCTCCTGCTTATCTCTATGGAGACTGTGAATAGACGACTTAAGATAGCCTATCGCCTTGTTGTTGTTGCTGTATTTGATTGCACTACAAGTGTCACAAGTTAAGCGAGATTGATCTAAGGCGGGTTTGCAGGAAGACGAAGAAGAAGAGGATGGAGCTGCCTGCCATGACAAGGGGTAAATTTAATATGCGATCATGTCCAAGTGATGTATTCACATGTAGATGCGTTGTATTGTGTGACCATTAATGGAGAAATTTAAGTGTGTTTGCGCTGCCGCCAGTCGGGTTTAGATTTAAGACTGGAGAAGGAGGACTTAGTGACTGGATGGCGAACTGGTGTCGAGTGTAGGTTCTTTATTTGAATATTAATACCAAATATAAAAAATAATAAAATAAAAATTAAGAAAATT